GTGTGTATGCATGCAAGTGAGTCGGAGTAAGAGTCAGATAGTACAGACTTAAGTCTAATGATAAAATAAATTGGGTACAGAGAAGGTAACGCTCATTTAAACATACTGGATCTAACGCAAACTGTAAAAGTGCACCAATAAAAAAATTAGAGTGGAGAATGCATATAGCACTATCATACCTGATGGTGGTACACTGTTGCAGACTCGAGGAACTTTCCATAAGCATGAACTGCCTTCTTTGTATAGGGTTTTAAAGTAGTCCGGATTTTATCAACATGAGGTCTTGTTGAAGTGGCAACCTGATCAATATATGGTTTGCTAAATTTCCTTAATTCCTGCAGTTTAATTAAATTTACTTCAGATGGTGAAGAGAGAGTAAACAAATAAGGTAGTGTAGATGGATATCTCACTTGAAAATAAGGATCAGCAATTTCCTGAACTCGGATGATAAGCGGAGTCACAGTGTTCTTTGATACCTCATATATCTCAAGAGTTTTCATAGTTAGCATTTGCACATGTGGTTCAGCATTAGTTTTTACCACCACCCACTGTTCCGTTAGGGCTGGGATCCATTTCTTCACACAGGATGGAGGGGATAAATCAGCACATAAAAATTCAAATCAGGAATAATGGAAAATACTATAAAAGTAATTATGGTGTTGACTAAAGAGTTATAGTGTTACTCTCACTTGCACTGCAACGCAACAAAATATATGCCAAAGAGAGAAAGAAAATGCACGATGGACAATCAATTGAAATAAACAACTTAACTATGAATGCATGCCATAATCCCTGATTTATGCACTAATATCAATTAGAGCAAATCAAACACTCAATAGTTAGCCTAGCATATGCAAAGTTGACTTACAGTTTTCATGGTTTCAACATGTGGTGCAGCCCATTCTTCAAGTTGGGCCTTCTTCTCAATTGCCTGAAAAACACAGATAGGTATAGGCTACTGAAAAGAGGAGGCTGAAGGTGAGAACGTAACATTTCATAATTCCTTCATACACAAACAATGTCTAAGAGGAAGCTTAATGTACTCCATGCAACTTAGACACTTGCCTTCTGCATTGCCATCTCCAAGGCAGGTCTTGCGTGTACATTCCAGTTTTTCTCCAGAAGCGACTGCAATTAACAAACTTAGTCAAAACTCACGAGAATTGTCAGGTAATATACAATAAGCAGCAAAAGAACAGGAAACGATACCTGGTAATGACTAAAATGAACTGCAAGCCAAGGTGGAAGCCATGCACCATGAACCTAATTATATGTATCATAAAATGAAATAAGGCCATATTACATCCAAAAAGAGAAGTAAAAGGGAATGAATGGCACAAATTTGACCACACGTGTGGCACAAAACACAAACACCAATTAGAGCCCAAAGAGAAGATCTGAACAAATTATGCATCACAGAGAATATGTTGACCAGCTACAGCAAAGTACTTTGGCTGAAAACGTTTAAGCATATACATGTATAGAAAAAACGGGGTCCGTGCCGATAAAGAAAAAGTAAACAAGACGAAAAGCAGATATATCCATAAAATCCAGATGAGCATTGAAGAAAAGCATAAAATGTGCAAGGAAGCTTTTAATTGGAATTGCATTGTGCTCTGGTTTTGCTAGTGAATGCCAAATTAATTGGAAAATATCTGATAGTTTACAGCCAAATTTCGACAGGCACATACTACGGTAGGTTTTCACAAAGCCCTGATGACAACTGGGGCCATAGACTTTTATCATAAAGAAGCTAGAAGCATAATAGAAACTCCACAGTCAATGCTATAGTTTCCATTAGGTGTCAATTTATGGTATATTAAACGCAGTTTTGATCAGCATAAAGACTAAAAATTATAGGACAGAAAATACTGTAGAAGAAAAAAAAAAGTGAATAATTAATTTTGTGAATAATAGAACCATTAAGTTCCCCTCACTCTTTCATGAAGTGAAGAGATTATAGTTAGTCACTATCCCAAAAAAGTGAAATTAGAAGAAGATAAAGAAAAAATGTTTAGCTCAGATACCAGAAAAATGATGTGCACTGACAAAATTGAGATTAAATATATAGTGAAAGAGCAATTAGACCAGGTAAGTTTAATATGAAACTAAGTTTCATCGACAAAATGAGCTTAGTTAAAAGGTTGTCCAAAATAAACATGAACTAGAAAAATGTTCAACGTTCCATGATATAAAAACATTGCAGATATATAAATAGTTATTCAGGAATGTGATAAACCAAGAGAAACAATAGTAAGTATGATAGAGTGAGAACTGACATTCAACTGAATCATGACTACAATTAGCCCTAGCTTGACAATCATTATTTCAAAGCTCTTTATTCTACATACTCCTTTTTAACCACACATTCACACAATAAAATATTCTGCAAGTAAACTCAAAACGTTTCTCTACTTTTTAATCACTGATTCTTCCAAAGTTCACCATTCAAAACATTATTTTTTCTCAAACAATGGCCATCAAACAGGGGCTTAAAACTATTCTCTGGCCTTGAATGAAAGTCTGTATAGAACCCAGATGGTGTGAATAAGCTTTAAAGCCATGTTGAAAGAATGAATCAATTACTGTGCTGCAGAAGAACGAAAGTGGAAATAGAGAATCTTTAATTGTGTCTGATATGTCAGACCAAAAGATCAAGGCAAAAATCAATGCACAATGCAACAGAAGTATCATGAAATGTAATAGAACATTTAAGCATTAAGGAAATTAAATGAGACTCCAAAATTGAACTCCTATGAAAAAAGCATAGAAAAGGGTAGTAGGAAACATTAAAAAAACCATTGAAAGCTTACCTCCATCAACTCTCTAGTTTTGGACGTATATTCAGACTTCGCCTTCATCAATTCATCCTGCATAGAATTTTTAAAGAAAAAGCAATTAATTATCCGAACCAAATTTTTAAACAAATTAAACTAGTATTTGAATTAGAAATATACCTCGGCAACATGAAGAGCTCGTTCAGTTTTACGTAATTTTGTTTTCTGTTCATCAATGACCTTTTGAAGCTGCAAACAGACATGGAATGAGAGTTACATTGAAATACAGAAAGCGAGAAAGAAAGGTTTTTTACTTACCATTTTCCAAAAACAAAAAAATAGACTTAGCTGTGGAACATCAGATTCAATCCTGATATAAGCTGTTCAATATGTTATATTACTTGTAGTATCTTTTGACAAATTTCAGCAGAATCATTTCCTTTTTTTTCTTTTTTCTTTTTTTAATGCATACGGCATTAATCATGTCCTTGTGCATTACCAAATGTACTACCTCAGGTGATGATTAGAATGTAGAAATCTTTTCAATATAATAAGCATAAATCATATAAAAGTCACATAAACTAAAAAAAATAAACTTCATCTCGTCCTCATAAGGAGTCGGATACATTGATCATCTTCTTCCACCTCTTATGTCACTCTATTAACAGCCATCTCCAGAATGAACTACCAATGCTTATAACCTCTCCGTTTACCTAATTCCATGTGATTTTAGACGGTCCTCTACCCTAGGTTTACCACTAATGTTAGTTCCATCAGTTTTCCAAACCAATGCATAAAACAGGCTTCACTAAATATGCCCAGACCAAGTTCTCCATATTTCATCTTTAATAAACAAAAGGCACCAAATCACAGTAAATCAAAAAAGGAGAGAGAGTCAATAGGTATATGATCATTTCAGACTCCACTATTAAAAGACAAAAGTTATGAAACTTGAGGCCATTTTTATGTGTAAAATAATTTACAGGCACAGTAGACAAAGAAACATCTTACACTCTCAACTTTGGCATTTAATTTAACCGTCTTCTTTACAGCTTCCTCTTCTCGGGCTTTGAATAAGTCCTTTTCCTTAGTTTTCACTTCGATGTCTGTTTTCAGTTTCTCCACCTGCCTTTCCAATTCTTCAGCTCGTGCATGTGCCTTCCCCAGCTGTTCCTCAGCAGCTAATGTTCCCTTTTTCTAACGAACAAAAATCATTTTCAGTAACAGGAAAAAGAATATAACGACCGAGTTCAAGGGATTTTAATGTCTCACTTGTAGAGAACCAATTTCATTCTGCAATGATGTAATGCTGTTTGATTTTTCTTTGATTATCTTCTCCTTTGTAGCAATAACCTCATCCTTTTGTTTTATTTCTTGAGCTTTCTCCTCAATATGAGACTCTTCAAACAACAGAAATGTATAAGAAAAATATAAAAATACAGTTACAGTCTACTATTAACGAATAAAGTAAACAAATCATTTCATGACTTGTGGCTTACCCAAAGAAGGGGGTATAACACCACAACATTCTATTTACAAATTCATGTATAAGTTTGGTCCACAGGGAAAAGGATGCAATCTAGTGGAGAACGGCTATTGTTGAATTCTAATGTCCTACTGCAAGCTAGTCTTGTGCAGAAATGTAAGTAATCACTTACTCCAAAGGTAAATTAGAATCAAAAGTCAGTATAATGATTACAAATCGGGTAAATGTACTCCAGGCCTCCATGCCACAACTTCACTGGCATAGTTCATAGTTCTACACCACCTATCACATCGGCTTCATAATAGAAGCTTATAATTCTGCTCTGTAATCTTAGCTGCCACTAATTTATTTATTTTTTTTTGTATTTTTTTTTTTTTTAGAACCATTCACTTCAGCAAAGTCTAGTTCATTCTTCCACCAATTTTTTCCTTCCCTTTTTTATGGCATGCAGGTGAAGGCAATAGTTATTTATTGTTGCTTGAGCAAAAGATGAAAAATATGATGACTGCTACTCTGCAAATTCTGGATTTGAAAAGAGGTAAAAGGTACACAGCAACGTTGCTTCATCCTTTTGTCGTAAGAACTATATGACTTGGTTTCCCTTTCAGTGTTGCACATAAATAGATAATTACTAGCACTAAACATAACAACTAGGCACTTTCCTGTCCAAAATATACCTTTCCAAATTAATTATTTCATGGACTTAACCTATCGAACGGTAACAAGATAATCTTGGCAATTACCTTGTATACCTCAAAACTACACCAACACCACTCCAAATATATATCAAAGGTAGGAAAAATGCACTAATGATTTTGCAGTCAGGTGTAGTTCTAAATCAACAGAATGGGATCAATTCGATGGTGAAACAATTAGTGCCCCTAACTGGAACACATGAAGTATACAATTTTTTACAGTGTACAACCCACAGGGAGGTCAGTTTCCAGAAAATGTCACACGCCTAAAATGACACAAATAGCCACACATACAACTTACTACTCAAAACCTCATCTCCACTCTCCATACATATGTTGGCATTCTTTTTCACTTAATTAGCTGACATCTCCATCTATATAAATATTTACCCATAAGTTCTTCAAATGCGCTTCTGCATAATTTTTTTCCGCAAACAAAGGCTTCCAAGTTTCAATAGCAATCGTCAAAATCCAATAACCCATAAATCACAATCACTCAAACTTTACAAAAGAAAAACAGAAATAGCTTAATACTCAAAAATTGAACAGCCATTTACTAAATATTCATGGGGTTAACAACATAACAATAAAAATCGAAATTTTTTTGGGCTGACTAACCAAGAGTATGGATCTTAGATTTGAGTTGTTCTATCAAAACAGAATCAGAGCCATCCGATCTGGGTACTTGGACTTCATCGTCGACGACAGAGAATGGGGAATCAGCATCAGCTCTGATGTGGGTGAGGATTAGAGAGATAAAAACAGTAAATATGAACAATTTTAACGCCGCCATAAAGCCACTACTGGAGGCTCCAGCGCTCCTCCTATCTAATATATCTATCAAATTTTTAACTTCGACAGGATTTTTGGAGGTGTGTTCTTGGGAAACCCACGTCGTGCACGAGAGACTAATATACTTCGAAAAATGCAGATCTTTATTTTCTAATACGGGCTCACACTGCTAGTTTCTTGGAACTTTTTGAAATGGACGACAATACCCTTTGCGGAGAAAGAACTATCAGAAAAGAGAGATTTTTCTCAAATGGTCCCCAAAGTTAGAGGGAAGTTTCAAATTGATCAATAAAATATTTTTGGGAATCATTTAGAGTATATTTAAGAAGTGGTTATAAACGGTTTAGATTATAAATTATAGGAAAATAATGATAAATAAGTAGAAAGCAATTGTGATTTCGTTAAAGTTTTTAGATAGACAACTGACTTGAAAATTAATAAATAATAGAAAAATATAAGTCAGATATAGGTTTAGCTGTACACTCAAGTGATACTACATAATTGGTCACTCCTTTAAAAACATTATCTCCAAAAATGATGTTGGGTCGTTGAACCAGCCTTGATATTTGTGGTGTTCGTGCCGTGAAATCAGAAGTTTTCAGATAAGAATAAAAATCTCGAAGAGCTCCTGCAACCCTAATTTCGACTAAAAAGCTTGCAACACAACTAAAAAACAGGAGGCCAACTTGTAGGAATTGTTCGCTTCAATGGTAATTAGTAGAGGTGAAGATTTAACAGCTATTAGGTTGATTATGACACTAATCAAATTAATGAAGTAACCAATTATGCAATAGTATTTATTTTAGTGACTAAATGAATCACAAAAATAATTTAATGATCTTTAATTTCATTGACCATTAGAAATAAACTCATCAAAAATTACTTCCAAAAGTATACATTATTTTTCTTTTGTGTGTGTCACTTAAAATTGCACTAGGCTTTTTAAGGCCTTTTCTAGTGCAGTGGCATGTTAAAACATGATGTTGAAAAAAGTTCAACTTTCCTATTTTTTTCGCCCCTCCTTTATTCGATTTTGAATTTATTTGGAAGAGAACATGCTCAGC